GTCAATGGATGCTAACAATTGCATACACTTTATCTCTCTTCCCTGGCCCACTGCCCAGGAGGAAATGGGCTACTTGGAGGTGCTGATGTTTCGAGTTTCGAGATGAGCCTCAGTTGTTCCCATGGAGGAGCCAAAGCAGGTTTTAAAAGTTGGCAGATTTTAAAAGTTAGCTTTTCTCAGAGAGTGGGGCAATGCCAGAGAGAAAAAAACCGGAGGCTTAGCAAGATCAGTAGTGTGCGTCACTGCCATCTGCTGGGTGGAATGGGCATCGCACCAGCTTCGGAGCCGCTCTGCTGAGTAAGAATCCTGATTCCCAGGCTGTGTTCAAAACAGGGTGGGGTCAGAACAGAGTGGCATATCTGCGGGTCTTCGAACACCAGTTCTAGCTGTGTGCAGGGTTTGGTAACGTCACGAATTTGCACAGGATGAATATCCTGTGAGCAATCAAGAAGGAGAAGGGGACCCGGTACGTAGTCTAGCATGCATGAAGCTGCGAGTTCAATCTCCCAGCGTGGTTTATGCTAGTTGTGGTGACACACACCAGTAAACCCAGCACCCAGCACCCAGCACCCAGCAGGAGCCTAAGAAGCTCAAGGTTCTCTTTAGCTACCTGAGACCCTGCCTTTAAAAATCGAAACAAAACAAAAAGTAAAAGAAGCAAAGTTCCCTGATCAAAGTTTGTCCCAAATGATTGATCTAGTTAATCAGAAAAGGCCGACAGCCATCAGGCCAGGGCATCTGGCGGAACATGGATCCTCTTGTCAGTAGCAGAAAGGGCTTACAGGAAGGCAGAACAGCATCTGGCTTCCGATTCTGTGTCCATGTACTCAGAAACGCTGTGTGCCTCAAAGAACTGGGTCTGGTAGTAAGCACTGACAACCTCAGTACCTGAAGGCAGAAGCAGGATGGTCAGGAGTACAAGGCCAGCCTTGAGTAGAAGCAAACTGGAAACCAGCCTGGGCTACGTGAGACTCAGACTCAAGAAAACGATGTAAAACACACAAACAAAACATGGCTGCAGAGATGGCTAGGCATTCAAGAGCATGTGCTGTCCTCTTGAAAACCTAGACTTTGGTTCCCAGCACCCACATGAAAGTTCATAACCACCTGGAACTCCAGTTCCAGGGGCTTTGACACCCTCTTTGGGCCTCAGAGTAACAGATACCCACATACTGCACATTCATTTATTTAGGCACATGGGCATACATAAAAATAAAACTCTGAAGAAAAAATAGCAAATGGGAGCTCAAAGGTTAGGAGCACCTGCTGCTCTTCCAGAGGATCAGGGTTTGGTTCCCACCCCAGGGTGAACAGCTCACAACTGCCTGCAACACCAGCTCCAGGGAATTGGAACCTGCTTCTGGCCTCTGTGGGTATACACATACATAGATACGCATAAACAAAAAATGAAAATAAATGTTCAAAGCAAAACCCGACCTAACAAAAAGAACTGAAGAGACGAGGAAAACAAATACAGCCTCTGGTCCTCATAGAATATGCCATCTTCTGATGCCATCTTCTGCACGATAGGCACATGTGCCTCACTTAGTTCTCAGAGTAATCCTCAGGCCACTACATCTTCTTCATAATCATCGCATACTGCTGCTGCACCTCCTTTACAGTTCTAAACACCAAAGCTTAGAAAAATGGAGTCAGCGAGGACCACAGAGTTAGAAACTGATGGAGGCAGGCGTGAACACGGTATCATGGAGCAGGAAGGGGGGGAATTGTTAATACCCTGAACTAACACGGTGTTTGATTTCTTTCACACGTAGATTCTTGGCTTTATGTGCATTTTCTGTTCCGTTAGCTACAGGTTTCCAGCAAAGTGAAACTGGTACCCAAATAGTGATGATGACAGTACATGCTCAGGAGGGAGGGGCCCATCAGGAAGAACCTCCCTGACTCTAGCGAGCGTTTGGAACCCATCTAGCTAATGTTCTCTCCAGTCCAGAAGGCTTTTCCCTGGTGGCAGCCTGTGGCAGCTTGCTCTGAGTAGAAAGCAAACCCTCATTTTGACTGACTTCAGAGCTTTACAAGTGGGATGTTCTGATGGCAACGGTCCCAAGCCACTTTGTTTGTATTGTGCTTGTATGTGAGGGTTGCATACATAGGTGTGTACGTGTGTGGGGGCATGTGTGAAGGCCGCAGTTGGTTATCTGGTATCTACCTCAATGGTTCTCCGTCTTATTTTTTGAGAGTCTCTCCCACTGAATCTGTTTTGGCTAGATTGGCTGACCAGTGAGCTCCTGGCATCGGCCTCCACCCCCGCCCCCATGGCTGGAGTTATGGGTGAGAATCATCACACTAGTCTTTTATGTGGGTGGGTGTTGGGGACCCAAACTCAGGTCCTCATGCTTGTGTGGAAAGCACCTTCACCCACTGAGTCGTCTCTCCATCCCCTCAAACCATTTTGATTTTTTTCCTTTTCTCTTATGAATGGGATAGCAGAGGAAGGAGTCGGGGAAGAGAACGAACAGGAATTGGTGGCAGAGCAGGGATACTCTGCAGAGTGCCTCTCAAATATGCTCAGAACCAGGTGTGCTGGGAGACAGAAGGAGTTCTCTGAGATTAAGGCTAACCAGATCTGCATAGTGAATTCTAGACCACTTAAGAATTTCACATAGCAAAACCATAGCTTTCACATAAACCCTCCATCTCAAAACAACCACAATAACAAAACCTCGTATTAGCCCGGTGGAGAGTGAGCTAGGAATGTTCATGGAACAGTGAAGACATTAACATTGAGGTTGATTGTGGTGATGCATTACCATGAAAATCCCTGTCACATCCAAAGGGACTGAAACTTTTGCTGGACCCAATAGCCAAAGTTAATAACATACCTTAAAGTCACTTAAGACAAGACTATTATCCTAATGCCTACTAACTTGTTTATTTAACCTACCTTTAAGAGAACAATGTAAAAACCAACCATGGATTTCCCATATAATCAACTTTTATAACCTAAGCTAATGCATAGCCGTAATCTTAAGTTATGTATCTTCCATGCCCCAGACCCAAGAGTAGTGTGCGTGTGTGTGTGTGTGTGTGTGTGTGTGTGTGTGTGCACGCGCGTGCGCGCGCACGCGCTATGGTAATGAATGCTGGAAACAGAAAACAGGCTAAAAGCAGCCTTAGAAAATGAACACTTACCACAAAGGCTGGAAAGTGCTGGACAGTATTTGCTTGTTAGTGAGATCAGCTAGGGCCAGTGACTTGTGAAACTCTGTTAAAGATTTCTGTGTTGTACCCTTCCCTTGCCCATGTAGTGCTTACTGTCCTGTTGAGTAAATACACAGCACAGCCCTTTCTTAGGGAAGAACAGACACAGACGTGAAAGGACAGACACACATGCACACACACACAGAGGGGGAGGGAGGAAGGGACGGACAGACAGGCAAGAAGGCAGACAGACAGACAGATGAGGAACAGACAAGGCAGCATTCAAGCAGGTTCAGATTCAGACCCATGCAACAGACAGAAATGACAGAAGACACAGGGAGAGAAAGAATTCAAATCTAGCCTCACTCTTGATTAAATCACACCAACGGGAAGCTTAATAATTTATTTTCCTTAATTCAATACCAGCGCATTATTGGTGACTCTGAGTTTATCATTAACACTCTCCACCTGACACATCTGATAGTTGGTCTACTGGGTTAGAATCCCTGCTCTGTCACTCCCCAACTTACACGACCTCATATAACCTTTGTAAATAGTATTATTTGAGGGCTTCAGCGAGGTATGGTGGATTTGCTCCTCTTACCCATGGACATTCGCAGTGTCTGGGCACTCATAAAGCCAGGACACAGGGGAGTAAGCAGTCAGAATTGGGAGGCTCCTCCAGTAGGGTGTGCCTTGGGGTACTTGATGTTGATATGGCTGAAGGGTGGATATTTATCTAATTAGATTCCGTGCCCCAAGGCTACCTGCATGAGAACCATCAGGAAAAATGTCTTAGGGAATCTATCTGTCTATGAAACCCCCATGAAAAGAATGGTATTCACATTGTTTCCTGGAAATACCTGAAGCCTGAATTTTCGGAAAGGAACCCCAGCGTGGAAGTTTCTGGAAGAAGTACAACCAGAAAAGGGACATAATATTTTAAAAGATTTGTGATAGACTTCTTTAGTGGAAATTCCCTTCCACAGCAGCACATTTTGATGCTGAAAGCAAAGCCACTTAATGCCCAATTCTAGATTATTTTTTTAAAAACTAGCGAGCAGTCAGTAAGTTGGGTGCTGCTTTGGTGGTGAATAAGACACGGGATGAAACGATTCCCCAGCTGGTCCACATTTTTTGGGAATCTAGACATGAAGCAGTAAGTTTTGGAGAAATAAGAACAGATTAAAAGAAGGAACAAGATATCAGAAGTACCAAAATGTTCTCTCATATAGAAATATGAAAAGGTTGCATGGAGATCAGGCTAGTCAAAGGTCAGTAGAGGAAGCCCAGATGCCTTAGGGATTATTATAGCTTGAATTTAAAATGTCCCCCAGCTGGCTCATGGTCTGGGTTTCGGTCTCCCGTGGATGAAGGTGTTTTAGGGGATTGCTTAGAATGTGGGTCTAGGTAGTAGACTGGTTAAGTAGGACCTTTGTAAGTTGTACCTGCTCTCTGGCCCCAGTCCTGATTTCTGTAGTTCCAGGTTAGCTACTAAATAAATAGTTCCCACAGGAGCCTGCAGCCTCAAACTCTCTACCATCTCTCTCTTGTTATAAGTTGAAACCCTCTGAAACCAAGAACCAAGACGCATGTTTCTTCTCCTAAATTGCTTCTGGCAGGGATTTTTGCCCCAGCAACATAAAAGTCACTGCAGTGGTAGGAATGGCCCCATAGGCTCATAGCTTTGAGTGCTAGGTCATGAGAGAGCTGCTATTTGACAGGGACTAGGAGGTGTGGCCTTGTTGGAGGAAGTGTGTCACTGGGGGTGGGCTTTGGACTTTCAGAGGCCCGAGACATACCCAGTGTCTCTCTCTTCCTGTTGCCTCTGGATCCAGATGTAGAAGTCTCAGCTAACCCTGCAGCACCGTATCTGCCTGTCGCCTCTGGATCCAGATGTAGAAGTCTCAGCTGACCCTGCAGCACCATATCTGCCTGTCGCCTCTGGATCCAGATGTAGAAGTCTCAGCTGACCCTGCAGCACCATATCTGCCTCCATGCTTCCTTACCACCATGCCGACAATGGACTAAACTTCTGAAGCTGTGAGCATGCCCCAGGTAAAGATTTTCCTCTGTGAGAATTGCCATGGTCATGGTGTCTCTTCACAGCAACGTTCTCTTAGAACGCTGTTGACTAAGACAGTCACCTATACAAAGGACAGAGGCACACAAATCTATCTAAGCAGGTGACAATCTGAGGGTTATTTGTGCCATTACAAGTCTTTCTTTCTCCGAGTGACATGCAATGATTTTGTTATTTGTATGTGAATGACTTTAAAAGCCAGAGCTGAGCAGTTAATTTTTTAAGAAATATTCATTCAGTCACTTTACTTATGTGTGTGAGTACTTTGCTTGCTGCAGTTTAAAGTTCGCCACGCGCAATGCAGGAGCTCACAGAAGCCAGACAGTATGCGACATTGTGAGCCAACTTGTGGGTGCCGGCAACCAAACCCAAGTCATCCGCAAGAGCAGTAGGCGGTCTTAACCACTGAGCCATCTCTCTAGGCGGTCTTAACCATTGAGCCATCTCTCCAGTCACTGAGCAAATGATTTTTCTAGTAGTTTAATACCTTACTATTTAAAAATTACTAACATAAATTTATCATGAACATTACCAGACTTCATACATGTACACAATACATTCCATTCACCCCATTTCCTTGCCTTGTCCCCCAATTCCTGACATCCCCCCTTCCCACCCAGTCCTGCTACATTCATGTCGTTTTAAATGACCCAGTGAATGGGATTAGACTTACAGGGTCACGGGTGTGGGGTATTTATAGAAGCACGGGCAGCTTGCCAGTCGCTACACCACTGGTTTTATGAGATACTTGACACAATGTGCGTTACATGACACAGACCTGATTTTGTTCCAGTAGGTTAAACACAAGCCTCTCTCAGTGATGATCCCGGCTTATCAGAAGCTAGTTAAGCAGACCTCACAGGGTGGTTCACAAAGAAAAAGAAAAGGGGGCTTGGAGGACGTGAAGGGCAGGCAGAGGAGGGCCTGACGGACTGCAGACACCGCACAGGACTGTGGGGCAAATGGAGCAATTGAAGAATGACCGGACCAGATGCCTGGGCTGCCTTTGTGAATTCAGATCCACTAGGTGTGAATGAGGCTTCTCATTACCAAGCCCTGTGTGCCAAACGCCATCCTGCATTTGATCAACACGCCCTGCATCCGTTTCTTTTCTTGCTGTGACCAAATACACAGGAGAGTATTACTAAAGGGAGTGAAGGTTTGTTTGGGCTTACAGTTTGCGGGGTACAGTCCATCTCTGAGGGAAAGACATGATAGCAATGGCTTTATGGTGGCAGGGGTATGCCCATGGGCTCCCCACACCCTTACATCTTGCTTGAGCTGCTTGCAGGGAGCGGACGAGAAGCAGGGTCAGGATATGAAGCTGGGAGTCCATGCTCAGTGACCTAATTCCTTAAGCAATGCTCTGCCTCCTAAAGGTTCCAGAGCCATCCAAGTTTGCAGCACCAGCTGCCATGTACTTGGAGGACATTTCACAGTCAAGCCACAACACGCCTCGAACTTTCTGCACGCTCAACACTTCTCCCTTCTTAGTGACCTATGACCAACTCTCCCCTAGGCTCTGCAATACTTGCCTTCCAAGTGAATCTCAGCTTTCTTCTGTGTCTGCTTCTCCTGCCACTAGCTACATCTACTCTCGCCTAACCCACCATGATAGCCAAAGCAAGGGTGGCACATGACCCACTGAGGACTGTCTGATCATCTGCCTGCGTGCTTCCAGATTGTTCTTCCAGTGCACACACTTCGCCATGCCTCTCCCCATCTTTCTGGCCCGCCCACCCCTTGGTATTACTCTGAGGGTTAAAACCAGGTCTCCATCCTGCAGCCCAGATCTTCCACCTGCCCCTCCAACAACCAAGTCTCAGTTTCTAGAACCCTCTCTGGAAATCTGACCCCAGCCTTTGCCACTTGCCCGTCTTTGCTTCATCCACGAAAGTCTTTCTATTCTTTGAAAGCATTGATCTCTATCAGCTGTTCAGAATTCACTTAATGTCTGTCTCTGAAATCATGGCTCTGCTCTGGGCAATCGGGGCTCTGGACGCCTTTCCTCACCACGGTGTCCCCAGCATCTAACAGAGTTTCCTGTACAGCCAGGCAAATAAACATTGGTTGAATAAATGGATGAGCTTAATGGCAACAGGCTTCAAAAAATGACTCTTGCCAGGCATGGTGGCACACACCTTTAATCCCAGCAGGTGGATCACTGTGAATGAGTTCCAGGACAGCCATGGCTACACAGAGAAACCCTGTCTTAAGAAATAAATAAATAAATAAATGGCTCTTAAAAAGTAATCTCATCTTACTCTTTGCAGAGCTCTCAAGCCAAACTCTTCAAACGCAAAGCATTAGTTACCTCTAGTACATTTTTTATGAATGAGAAGTCAGGGAGCTATTACTGTTTCCAGGGAAGTCCAGTTGTTTCTCAAGCCTGATCATGAGGAAACGCTAAAATAAGTGTACACACTCACATGCAAACGCTCTTATTCCCAAGATGCTCCATCTTGAGGATGGATAAATGTTTTGTCTATTGGGAAACGTCAAATCATAATGGGGAAAGTTCAGGAAATGCAGTTTGAAAAGCAACTTTAAGAACCTCGGTTGAGTGACGTGACAGGGATAAGAAGGGAGAGCTGAGCACATTTCAGGATGCCACAGTACTCTGTTGAGGTTAGAAATATCAAGACCAGAAAGCGTTATTTCCTAAATGCAGAGTCAAATGGAAGTTTAATTTCAGAACACTCTCCAATGAACACAACTTTCACGTTTTATGCTTGCATTTTAAAAGAAATTGCTTTGGGTAAGTAATTTGGTTTTGGCAAGCCTAAAATGCAGGATTCAATGCAAACTGACCAGTACATTTTCACCAGTCAAAAGACGTTACAGTAGCTGCTTTCCAAATGCTTGGGTAGCAGAAAATGGACAGTAATTACTGACTACTCTCCTCCCAAATAAAAGCCTCACATCCGATATGGAGAATATGGGAAGGCATAATTACTTATGAACTAGGCCTTTACTGGGCATCCTTACTATACAAGGTCTGGCGAAGAATTACATACCCACCAGTTGTAATGCTGGAAGAGAGACCTCTAGTGTGTGCTCCGGGACTTTATATTGCACTTCGGGCATAATTAATAGAGTAAAAACCACTGCAGTCATTTTGCATGCTGTGGTGGAAGATTCCCCCCCCCCCAACTATCATTCATACTTAATGCATCTAGAGAGTTCTTCACAGCAAACTTTTTGCCTCTTCAGTTACATTCTCCTTATACACAACAGCCCCATTCCATGAAGTTTCTCTGTGATTCGAAGTTTTAAAGTTCCAGGGTCGCCTTTGTCACCTCATTAGTAAACACTTAACCTACTGCCATCCTTAAGTCACCAAAGGCATCAGCAGGACTCCTACCCAGCTATCCCCTTCCCTGAAGCCATGCCTCCAAAATGTAAACAGGAGGAATATATTGGCTTCTTGCCCACTATCCGCGAGACAAATGGACTCACTGCTATTTAAAATTCACCAAGTCTGCTGGCTATTAGTTCCCACAGCCTCCCATACAAGCAGGTGAATTCCTTGATGTGGGCTCAGATTTAATGAATCATTCCATGGCATCAGCCTCAGCCTTTAAAAATCCTTTATTTTCTTCTTTTCCACATTAAAAACATTTGAGATACACACAGAAAACGCTTCCCCCGGAACGCACACACATAACATACGAAACAGGAGGTCTCTTAAGGAGTCTACTGCTGAGAAGGTAAAAGCATTTTGCTCATTTTTAATTTGCTAAAACAATCCAAGCATGCTTGGTACCCAGAGGGTATTCTCAAATAAACTTGTATCTCTGGCTGCCAGCTTAGTTGATTGAAAACAGAAGGCAAACGTTTCTTAAAGAATGAGTATGTTAAACTGTTGTGTCTCCCTGAGTGCCACCAAGGATGCGCGTGCACACACACACACACACACACACACACACACACACGGCGTTGAGGGGGTTGTTGCAAAGATTTGCTTGAAAGCAGTCAATCCTAGGGTCTAAACGGTAGTGTAATATTTGTACCAAATTATTTCTGTCTACTGCGTTGTCCCTCTTAGCCAGGAAGCCAGAACCAGGAAGGTCCTGGACAGTTCCTGCGTGCTATTCCTCCACGTACAAAGCCGACTGCCCCACTGCAACTTTGCTAACTTAGTCCGCTCCGGCCCAGCCTGCCCCGAAGCACAGTGACGGTGAAAACGTGTTGACAGTGGAAAATCATTTCCACGACAGCCTAAGTGCTGGAAAGCACAAAGGAGATCCCCGTCGGCCCGCGATCGCTAGGAAGTTGCTGTGTGCAGGACGCCTGTGCCAGGTCCAGGTGAGGAGTCCCCGCACCACGGGTTCGCCCTCCCCTTCTTGGACGTTCAGGGGCTCCACCTCACTTTGGAAGCAATTCACCACAACGCACAACCCGCCCCGTTCTTTTTTTCCAGGAGGTGGGGACTCTTTTATTTTCCAGCCAGGTCCCTCTTGGGGGCAGGAGAGGAAGCGCACTCCACATTTCCAGCAAGAGGGGAGGCAGGCTGGGGGGTGGGGAGGAAAGAGGTCAGAAAGGAACCAAACTGCCTCCCTTCCTCCCACCTCTGCGCCCCGGAGCGCCAGTTCCGACCACGCACACCGGTGGCAACCAGGAAACTCGGTCCCTTTAAGGGAACGGTGGCCGCCAGAAGAGGAGGAGGGAAGGACCGGGGCTCCGGACTCCGCGCGGCTGGCTCCCCGAGAGGGGGCGAACGCCGAAAAGCCACCATCGTTACCTGCGGCGACCACAGCCTTCCCCCACCCCAGCGTCCCCAGCCCGCGCTCGCCTCCCAAGGAGACTTCTTAATCCCAGCTCTCTAACAGGGGAGGAGGTGGGGAGGAAGAGGAACCGGCTCTTTTTAAAAATAAATGAAACATTTGCACCCAGGGAGGGAGGAGGGGAAATGGGAGGGGATGGGAAAGGGCTTTAAAGGCGCCCGAGTGGGCGGAGGCGACGAATCTGGATCAGCCCGGGTTGCACGCGGGATGGCTCTCGGAACCAGCCGCCGTTCACAAAAGGGTTCGGCTCAGGAGAAAGGGGAAGGGAAAATAAATAAAATAAATAAATAAAGCGCCCCGGGGCCTGATTCGCTCAGCAGCCACAATGGCGTCTTTGAGCGGTTGTCCCGGGGGGGCGCCGCCAAGGCTGGCTGTGAGCAGGGCGACGGTCCCAACCCCCATGCGATCGGCGCCGAGCCCGGGGCGCCCCGGGAAGAAAGGACGCGCGCGGCTGGCGGGAGCAGGGTCTGGACGCGGGGTCCGAGAGCCGCGGGGCTGCGCTCCGAGACGCAGGATCCGGCCGCGGGGGCACTCCCCACCCTACCCAAGCCCGGTTCGCGCGCCGGCTACGGATCCCCTCGGAGCCCCGGCCTGGGCTCCTGCCGCCTCTGCCCGCGCCCGCTCGGCTCCCTCTGCCAGGAAGAAAACCCGAGGAGCCGCAGCCGCAGCCGCAGCCGGTGCGAGCGGATCCCCCAGCCTCCGTCCGCGCCCGGCTGCGTGTGTGCGAGTGTGCCGCGCTCTCGCCCCATGCCTGGCACATGCGTAAAAGCGAGTTGCGCCCAAAGTCCCAGCCATACCCTCCTTAGCAAATAATAACAAACCCAAACCGTCAGATCTTACCTGAAACATTGAAGCACAAAGTCTCTCTCCAAGTCCCCTTTTCCTTTTCCTCTCCCCCCTTTTCCGATTTCTCTCCCAGCGATCTGCTCGCCTCGCCACACCAGAGAGAAATGCAATAGCTTGGCTAAGGTAGACAGAACAAAATACAGAGGAGAGTTGCTCCAGGGCTTTGAAACCCCTCAAGGCAAGGATCAGGATACAATTAGCTCGCGCCTCTACCTCTAGTCCAAATCTCCAAAATAAAACTTAAATCAAATTAACCGATCTCAGGGTGCACAGTTGATCTTCAAAAATAAAGCTTTACATAGACTATAGAGAAATATACATATAGGAATTTTCCCCAGATTTTTTTTGTTGGAAAAACAGTCTCATTCCAGCCTCCAACTTGCTTTTTACTCTCCTCTTGCACAGAAAAGCTGATTTTAATCGTTGTGATTAGTTTTGATGTAACGTGTCCGCGGGCGATTTCTACAAATGGATGGAGTGTTTCTTTGCCAAAAGAGGGAAACGCAGCAGATGATGACAATTATAAGGATTGTTGGTCGTTTCTTTTTATTTGTGTTTAGGGCTCTCGCTTCACTTTCTCGAGTTGACCTGACGTTGCTGTGACAGGAAGGTCGCACAACTTGTTGATGAGGCTCGCCGCCCTGTCTGATCAAAGGCTAGGTGATAATTTGGCAATAGAACAGCATGATTTTGGTTCCTTTGGCGACATAAATGTCCCAAATGACGTGGATAAAAATAAGCACATGCAGTCTGCTTTGCCCCAATCAAGTCTGAATCAGTGCCTGAGGGTGATACACAAACTCATTTCGAATGTTCAACCATGCAGAATTGTAAAAAGATTGAAGGAGTTACACTACCTTTTTTTAGTGACAAAATTAAAAGAAAACAAAACCTAGCATCCCTACCATTTAGGTTTATTTGATCGACCTTCTGAACATACCTGCTGTATTCTCCCTGCTTGCCTCCCCCTGGTACCTTTATAGGGGTTTTGTATGAGTCCATTATTTGCTGGAAGGGCTCCATGGAGGCAAAAGACTAACACAAACACTCCCCAGATTGCAGCTCTGGGTTCTGACCCGTCTTCCACCCCCATCACTTCTTCCTCTCCGGGTCTTTGTTGAAAGAGTTTTGCTGAAGACTGCCCTTTATCTTAACTCTTTTCAGTTAGAGTGGGATATTTGATTGCAAACTCAAGGGTCACCTCCCATTAGTGTTAAATCCTTGCAGGATGCTTTTTGAAACGGTATGGTTTCCAGAACTTCACAGTTCATTAATTCAAAGACTTTGCTGACATTTCATATATATGCATGTATATACACATGTACATGTGTATACACTTGCACACCAGAGAGAATACACACACACACAGAGACAGAGAGAGAGAGAGTGTGTGTGTGTGTGTGCAGGTTGTATGCTCAAGGATACAGAAACAGGAAAGCCTCACAGAACTAGATAATACTTGCAAATACTTGTAGCTGGCAGCATTTTACAGGAAGTGATTTTTACCCATCATTTTATACCTTTAAGGTGAGGAAGTGCTACAAATGTCCATAGAAAAAGGAAGGATTAAGCTTTTTGTTGTTGTTGTTGTTGTTTTTAATAGGGTTCCACAAACCAGTGCTGTCATGAGACTGATGCCATAACAAGTATCAGAGGTAGCAATAGGTTTTTATTTTTAGTGTGGAAAGTGTGTTAGGGCATGGGCATTTGCTTTGAGAACAAACATCATTTCCCTAGAAGAAGAAAGCAGAAATATCTTTAAAAGCAACATAAAGAGACTCATAATTTCTTTGCATACTCTCCTTGGTAGATATATTCTATGGCCTGCAATAAAATGTTTAAAGCGACTACAAAAGCCTAAATTCAACAGAATGAATGGTCCATTTTCCAAATGACATTCTCGTAGAGAAACGAGGGCCAAGGGCCTCAGCAGAAACAAGCCCAGTCATTTGACATGGTAACTTAAGCATCTCTTACTGGAAATGCTTAGAATTGGGTGAGTTCAGACTTTCAAATAAAGCATATCCATAGATGAGCGCATGGGCCCCAACCCTGAACATGACATTCATTTATATCTTACGTAATACCTTCCATGTACGGGCTGAAGGTAAGCACACATTTGTGTGGGGTGTCTATGTATGTTCATGTGTTTGTGCTCGTGTATGTGCGTGTGCACGCGCGCACGCGCGTGCGTGTGTGTGTGTGTGTGTGTGTGTGTGTGTGTGTGTGTAGGCCAGAGGTCATCATCTAGTGTTTTCTTTTTGAGACAGGATCTTTTGCTGAAGTTCACTGATCCAGCTAAACTAGCCAGCCAGCAAGACCTAAGAAAGCCCCTATCTCGTCCTCCTCAGCTCTGGGACCACACCTGCACGCTGTCACTCTGGGACCACACGTGCATGCTGCTGCTCTGAGATCACACCTGCACGCTGCTTCTCTGGGATCACACAGGCATGCTGCCGCTCTGCGATCACACATGCATGCTGCTGCTCTGGGATCACACCTGCATGCTGCTGCTCTGGGATCACACATGCATGCTGCTGCTGGGATCACATGTGCACACTGCTGCTCTGGGATCACATGTGCACGCTGCTGCTCTGGGATCACACCTGCATGCTGCTGCTCTGGGACCACACCTGCACGCTGCTGCTCTGGGATCACACGTGCACGCTGCTGCTCTGGGATCACACCTGCACGCTGCTGCTCTGGGATCACACATGCATGCTGCCGCTCTGCGATCACACAGGCATGCTGCTGCTCTGAGATCACACCTGCACGCTGCTTCTCTGGGATCACACATGCATGCTGCCGCTCTGGGATCACACATGCATGCTGCTGCTGGGATCACATGTGCACACTGCTGCTCTGGGATCACATGTGCACGCTGCTGCTCTGGGATCACACATGCACGCTGCTGCTCTGGGATCACATGTGCACACTGCTGCTCTGGGATCACACATGCACGCTGCTGCTCTGGGATCACACCTGCAGACTGCTGCTCTGGGATCACACATGCACACTGCTGCTCTGGGATCATACATGCACGCTGCTGCTCTGCGATCACACAGGCATGCTGCTGCTCTGGGATCACACATGCACACTGCTGCTCTGGGATCACACATGCACGCTGCTGCTCTGGGACCACACGTGCATGCTGCTGCTCTGGGATCACACATGCACGCTGCTGCTCTGGGATCACACATGCACGCTGCTGCTCTGGGATCACACCTGCACGCTGCTGCTCTGCGATCACACATGCATGCTGCCGCTCTGCGATCACACATGCACACTGCTGCTCTGCGATCACACAGGCATGCTGCTGCTCTGGGATCACACGTGCACGCTGCTGCTCTGGGATCACACATGCATGCTGCCGCTCTGGGATCACACCTGCATGCTGCCGCTCTGGGATCACATGTGCATGCTGCCGCTCTGGGGTCACACATGCATGCTGCTGCGCTCATTCTTGCAAAGCAAGAGTGTTGACTGAACCACCCTCCCTGCCATTGTGCAATGTATTTGAGACTCTTGTGCATCAAACACAGTCTCACAGCGTGCAGTTTTCCACTTGCGTAGTCAGTCACTGTACTACTCAACAAGTTTCAACTTTTGATTTGTGGTAGTTTTAATTGTCAGTTTTTGTAACACAGATTCTCCTAGGAAGAGTCTCAATGGCAGATTGTCTAGATCAGGCTGCACATGTCCATGGGTGATTATTATGATTGCATTAATTGAAGTGGGAAGAACGACATACTGTGTGTAGCAACATCTCCCAGGCAAGGGATCCTTAACTGTGCAGAGTAGAGAAAGCAAGCCAAGCACAGGCACCCTTGCATTCATTCATTCATTCATTCATTCATTCATTTGTTGATTCGTAATTTCTGTGATTTTGACTGTGGATGGCCTAATGCGTCAGGTTCCCGATGCTGTGACTCCCCCCACACCCATGATGGACCGTACCTGGAACTGTGAGCAAACCCTTCCTTCTCCTGCTTTTACCTGGCATTTTATCACAACAACAAAAAAAGAAACTAAGGCACAGCATTTCAGAGTTTTGGAATTAGGGATGATCAACCTGCTTGTTAAAGCCATGGCCTAAAGGGACTATTAATAAGAAACAGAAACATCCCCCCCCCAATCTCCAACCCACAGTCTGTGGAGAACAATGCACTGCTGTCCTGGAATGCTTGAGCTGGAAGCTTCTTGACAGACTAGTTTGTCATCGCCATTTCAGAGGTGAAGGCAGAGGTAAAGCAGCTTGC